ATTTTCCCGAAAGTTGTGACAATGACAGAAATGTAGAAGTGATTAAAGGATCTGCTTGGGATGGCCCTGAACCTGGGGAAGAAGTCGTCGGTGGCGCACCCCAGCGTGGGTGGGCGGCAACTACCTGAATAGGAGTGAGAGGCGGAGGGTGCCTGAGCCCATAGCTCTCCTCAGCATACTGGACAGGGGTTAAAGGGCGAGTTCAAGCTGCGCATGACTGTGGAGCCCACTCGAGTGACGGAACTTACGGGTATTCCCGAGGCCCTGGCTCTCTGAAGACAGATGCGCCCTTGCGGTCCGCTCATTCTCGTGGAACACCTGGCAGGCTCCTTGCACATCTGGACCTCTCCCGAGGACCTTCGGGGTGTCACCAGAGGAACCACGAGCCTTCGTGTGACCTTCCCAACGCCCCAGGTTGGTGTGTGCAGCGGCGTTTTCTGTGTATATCCTGGAGGTCCACACACTGTCTGCGTGAGATCAAGAGTCATTGAGAAGTTCGGCGCTCTGTTAATTTTTAAGTGTGCCAAGTTGTTCGTCCTTAAAGGCACCGTACGTCATCATGGGGATGACAGCCAGCATCCCATGTGCCGCTCCAAGGAAGGGGCTCGCAGTCGGAGGGGCACTGGGGTGGAAGACAGGGCAGCCTGACGAGTCCCCCGCACCTACAGGACAGCCACTGCTAACCCCAGGGGGCCCGTGCTTTCATTGGGACATGCAGATGTCTCCCAGTGACTGCTTGATGTGTGTGAAAGTCGTGTGTCAGGGTGTCGTGAAAAATGGAGAAGTCTATGAAAGGCGTTCTGGCTCTAGGAAATGATGCTAGTAGGGATTTTAGATTAAAGAGGTAATAAGATCTGCCTAGGCAGAGTGAAGAGAGATGGTTTAGTGGTGAAAAATAAGGTTATCAGACAAGTAAATGGCAGACTAGAAAATAAAAATGTGTCACTTGGATGGCACAGAGCCACTGCAGTTTTTCAAAAAGCCAGATACTGAAGTTATCACACCCTCCACATCATTCAGCTTGAATGGTGGAGGAGTGGTCCCTGAGCTGGGGTGGCGATGGGAGGGAGAACTGGCCTGGGCCTGTTCGAAGATGGGGCCTGATTTACAGACTTCCATCAGGGGTTGAGGTTCCAGTGCAGATGAGACAGGAAATGAAGAACGAGACAGTTCTACAGAATTGAATGCGACAACAGAGGACAGGGACCGCTGCAGACCGGGCTCCGTTCCACGGCGGGCAGACCTCGTGTTCTGATGGAGAATGTGCAGCCTGGGGCTCTCGGCGATGGGGTGGGAGGAACTGTGCGAGCCCTTCTTTGCCACAGTAAGTGCGAGGTGGTGCTGACGGTTTAGATCGTACAGTTAAGCTAAGGCCCATCCGATTTAGAGTGATGTTGTCCTCAGCAGATAAAATGTGAAGCTATGGGAAGAAACTCATTCACTCGAGTCATTCTGCCCCAGGGCTCCCTGGGGGACGAGTAGGAAGAGACAGTCAGGCGACACTGCGCCTCGGATAGACATGACCGCGCATCTAGTAGTTGCCACTGTATAGGCCGGGCGAGTCCAGATGCTGAGCGGGTTGAAATGGTTCTTTCCAAGATGGCAGACTCAAAACTCAATCAACAGAGATACCTGTTGCTGTAAGGAGGCATCCGTGGGGCTCAGGGAGGAGAAGGGAGCAGAGCATGGCGGCCTCGCCAGAACCACCTGAGCCAGGACCTGGAGGCAGGACCTGACTCCACACAGGGAGCACCAGCAAAGGGAACGTGTTAAGTGGTACAGCTTCTCCCGTAGCAGGGTCCCGGAGTCTGAGGGAGGGAGGGAGGGAGGGAGTGAGGGAGTGGTGAATCTCCCCTTCGCCTCCTGGGTGCTGCCTGTTGCCTGCAGTAATGGTTATAGCTGGTGGCTCCGCTGGCAGGAAGGACTTCCCTAGGCATAGCCAGCCTGGGGCCACAGGCTGCCCAGCCAGTCAGAGAGCTGGCGCCATGATCTCAGCTTCAGGGCACTTCGTGGCCCCTGTCACTCCTCAGTGCTCTGTGCGGGGAGTGGAGACCGCAGCACAGCCAGCATTCCGTCAGAACTCTGGGGACAGGAGGGAGAGAGGGAGAGGGACAGCAGGGTCCCTCCTGTCCTGGGGCTTCCATGTGTCCTGGGAAAGGGAGACCTTGAACAGGTAAATTTTTAAAAAGCACAACTAAGCTGATCAGGCATTGCAGACGTGGTGGGTGCTCTGAAGACAAGACAGGGTGCTGTGTGTGCTGCAGGTGAAGGTGGCGGGGTCCCCCAGTTTCCTGTGATCTCGGGCGGGTGACCTAAGGCCTAAAGAATGAGGAGCATCGTGCCACAGGAGAGCTGGTGAAAAGCATTCAGGAACAGGGACAGGCCGTATGAAGGTGGCAACAGGCTTTGGGAGGATTTGGCTCTTGAGAGGAGGCAGCCCATGTATGACCTCGGCAGCCCGGGGAGGGTATGCTGGCATCCGGCCCAGGGTAGAGGTGGTGGGCGAGTTAAAGACAGGGCGTGCCCGACTCAGCCAAAGGCAGGAGAGTGGAAATCACAGCAAGTGCGAAGGGAAATCTGCTTCCTCTCAAGTTGGGGGTGGAGGGGTGTTGAACGAGGACCACGTTGGAGGACTTAGGGTTCCTAACCTCTGTTTCTTCTGCAAAGGCTGGAATTAGCTGCTGCCCAGAAAGGAGGGTATTGGGGAGTGGGAAGGAGCCGAGAGCAGGTGGAAGAATGCGGAGCGATGCAGTAAGGGGTGAGAGGCCAAAGAGGGGGCCTAGCTGAAGCAGGACAGTCCTCGCGCTGGCCTGCAGCCATTGTCTGGCTTCTCTCCAGCAAGGCGGCTGGCCCCGCCCACCCCTGGGTGGAAGGACCCCGTGGAGAGGCTGCCTGGGGCTCCTTTGGGTGGTTGAGTCAAAAGGACAGACAAGATTCCTGAATAACTGGCGGTGCGGCCAGATGATGCTGGCATCCCAGGACGAGAAGACCTTGGTGTAGAGAGGAGGGGTGTGTCAGGGTGACCCTGGGGGAGAGCTGGAAGGGTGGCCCAGGATCGGAGAGAGGAAGTCAGGTTATATCCTTTGACCTACTTCCATTACGTGACAGCCCCCCTTCTGCCTCTCCTTGGGTAGTGAATCTGCTCTGGTGGAAGGGGAAGTGGTTGGCAGGTAGGTGGGACCTCAGTGGATTCCGATCCTATAATGAAACGTTGCCTTTTAATCGTTACGTGTGCCTTTCTCAGCTGTTTGTTTACTCCAGGTATATTCCTTCTCCCGTCCTGTGAGCCGCTGCAGTGCTGTGAGCGGCTGTAATGGGTGTGTCGGACGCCTGGCCCTGCTAACAGGCCTCTGTGGGGCGCCCGTTGTCACTCCAAATGGAGCGCCACGGCCATAATTGATGGAAGTGGGGTTGTAAGCTTTTAGGACTAATTGTAAAGCCTAAACTGAAGCGTTTCCAGGAGCTGCCTTCAGTAACAACAACAGCAACACCTTGTGTAGGCGTAGGATGTCGCAACGTACAGAGCGCTTTCATGTCCGCCGTGTCATTGAGTCTGTGTGGTAAACCGGGGCTGTTGGAGTGCCTCGGTCTCTCCTGCGTGAGGAACCGCCCTGCACGTCCAGATTTAGTCACGGGGGGCTGCCAGAGGTTCCTAGAACAACAGCCGTTTATTGAACACCTTCTATGCATAAAGCACTGTACTGAGGCTACCAAGGGGTAGATTTCCAGTAAATAAATATCCAGTGAGCAGTACCGGCCCAAAATGCGGTCTTGCGTCCTGACCCACTTTCCCTCCCTCGTTGCCGTCACTGTTTTGGAGGCTGCTTGTTAAGCCATAAATTTATATAAATATTGCCAGGAATTCAATTGTAGCAGAATTTAGGTTTTTAAAACCAAGGATTCTGATACTTAGCTGAGCTCAGTGATTCTTTAGAGAGTCATTCTATCGATTTCAACTCGCACCGTTGTGAAGTCTGTAGCGCTGTTACACGAGTCTCAGAAGCATCCCACACATCCAGTGTATTGAAAGTGCCCGGCCCGAGAGCCCATTGTCTGGAGTCGCTGCTCAGAGTGTGGTTCCAAGAGGCAGCGGGGCCCTCGGCCCCACAGTGGAAAAGGGGGCATAATCATCTCTGAGCCCTCGGCGCGCTGAGGAGCCTGGGAGCTAAAGGGCTCCCAGGAGGGGGCTCTGGGTGCAGTGAGGGATAGAAGGAAGCACAGGAGCCAGGCCCAGGCAGGACCGAACCTGCATCCAGGAGCTTCACGGTGCGTGCTCTGGACCGCCATGGCTCCTCAGAGATTCTCCAGAAAGTATGAGATCCCCAGAATAATAGGAACCCCTACTTCCAAGGCCCCTGGGCAGAGTGGTCCCTCAGAATGAGTGATATGAATGCACATCATCATCTGTTTCCCATCAAGGGCTGAGTCAGGCCCTGATCCAGCCCATCGGGTCAGCTGAAGGGCTTTGTTGCTGAGTTGGAGGTGATTACCAGGTGTTGCATCTCTGGCCACCTTCCTGCTCCTTGGGTGACATCTTAGTCTCACCAACTCCAGTGTCACACTGGCCTTTACCTGGCCGTTCGTGTGGCCATGTGGTGTGGGAATGGGGAGTACACATCCAAATGGCCTAGTGGTTTTTACTGGAGTACTCATCTCCTGTTCTAGAAAGCTTTTCCTTTTAAAATGACAACTTCTTTATTTTACAAGGGAGGGTAATGTCTGGATTACCAAATTATATCTCTTGATTTTTCTGATATGGAGCGTGGGCAACCCCATGTCAGAGCTCCTGCTGCCCCATGCCGGGCAGACACACCTCATGCTTTGCCGTGACACAGACGGTGCGGCCAGTGCCCACGCATCTCGGGAGCACTCCAGACAGGACCGTGGTGCGGACGGCGAGGAGCGGGAGTCGGTGTGTTGAGTCTGAGTGATGTCTTCGACTGGGGCTGGCGGCGTGCTTTAAATAATTGTGTTCTGATCATTTAGGTCTCTCTTTGTAGGGCATCTTTTATGACCAAGACTGTCCAGTACCAAAATGAGCTACATAAATTCCTAATCTGGGATACGGCTGGACAAGAACGAGTAAGTCACTCTTTAATTTCCTACGTGTTATTCCAAGGCCCAAATGCTCCAACTGAACCGTCGCTGTCCCTGTCGGGTCTCGTTAACTCAAACTCACTTTCCTCCTGCGTGCCGGGGGACGCGTCTGTTCCCGTTTGCAGAGGCCGGCCCGCTCCTTTGCAGTGAGAGCTGCCACATGCACGACGGAGCCGCGACGAAGGGCACTGTGGGCGTTTCCATTCTGTGTAGTGTCTTAAAGCAAAAGCTGACTAACGGCTGCGAAGGCCCCGCTCAGGTACTTTGTGTGACTGGGGCCCGTCCTCTAGCGCAGATAGAGCAGAAATAGTGGCAGAGGGGAGAGTTAAACACATCTCGTTTACAACTGCCTTTTAAAAGCTACAGACAGAACCTCACAGCAAAGAAGTTTGAGACCTAAGTGAAATGGATGCGCAAACACAGCGCCTTGCAATAGGTACTTAATAAATGCCTGACGAAGAACTTGTGGGAGACAGTTATCTGCTTAAGGAGCAGCCTGAGCCGAAAGTGGGAACTGGGCAGAGGCATCATGGTGCAGAGTGGGCTTAGGTGAAGCCCACTCCAATCAAACAGCAGTGTGGCGGCAGGGTGGCGGAACGGACGCCTGTCTGCAGCCCCGTTTTGTTTCCCCTCTGGGCCCTAAGTCTGATTTCCCTGTCCCATGCATCTGCCAGCCACCCCCAGCCACCCCGTTAGTCAGCTGCTGGTTAGTTTTTTTTCCAACAGTAAACAACATTGAATGGATGCACAGTGCTCTCATAGGCTCTTAAAAGTATAGGGTGATCAGGAGAGAGAGTCTGTGCTCACTGTGTTATCTGAGACAGCGGGGTTACTGTGTGTGGCAGAAAGCCTGGCAGAACCATCCCAGACAAATGGGGGGACACAGACAGGCCCGAACTGTTGTCCTGGACGTAGACACCATGCCTTGTACGGGTCTAATATCCCGAGTTTGTTCTGTTTGTTCTAATGCCGGGCCTCATGCCCTCTGTTCAGTTACTCATCTGACATCCGTCTGCGTTGACTCCCGCCCCCACTCCTATGTGGTTTGTGCATCCGAATGGAGTGTTTGTGACGGGGGCCTTTGTTTACCATCACCCTGCCCTCCTTCAGTGATGTGGCTTCCCACAGAGTTTTCCTGATCAGATCTGTAGGCACCGCTCTGTTGCCTGTCCCGTTGGCCAAGAACTGGTGTGGCTCTTCACACTACAACACACATACCCTCCTACCCAGTCCCAGTTCCAGTCCCTGTTCCAGTCCCACTTCCCACGCGTCTGGTAACACAGCAACACCCTCATCACAAACACTCACGCTGTGATGCAGAGTTCCTGCTGCTACAGGTCAGTTCACACAGGGATGTACGATGTCTTTTTTCTAGAGCTTAAAAACGGATAACAGGAGTTCGTGCCTCTCCCTTACAGCTACCGTAACAGCAGGGATTTGTTAGGTTTTATAATTAGCTGGCTCACCTGCCTCTTCTTCCCCTATTTCCATGATTCTGGGCTAGGAATAGGTGTTTCGAGATGTGAAGAGGCCTCACCCCTGCCCGAAGCGCCATCTCATAGCCAGGGGCTCGCCCAGGGGGGTACAAACGAGGCAGGCAGGTGAGGGTCAAAAGAACTGGCCGCAGAACCCCGCCAGGAGACCAGAGCGGAGCACCCATCCATCAGCATGTGCTCCAGCCGACTGCTGTCCACCCAGAGCGCACACTGAGGTTGCCAGGTCGCCACGTTGAAGAGCAGCTGGGCGTCTAACAGCCTGTCACAAATCGTGTGAAGGGCTGTGAGCACTGTCCAAGATGCACCTGTGAGTCTGCTCTGGCTTCCGGTCTGTCCTTGGCACGGCCCCCAAGGCCCTGAGCAGCCCAGCCAGCCCCAGCTAGAGCCCCCGTCCGCACGTCCTCCCACCGTTTGCCCTCTGGGCCCAGACCCAGGGGCCTACACTTTCACACCCGCCGCCAGTGGGCTGTGGTTCCCGCTGCTCAGAATGCCCCTCCCACTGGTAGCCCAGAGAACTCACCTCTGATGTCACCTCAAGGTGGGCTTTCCTACCTGTCCCTGCCATTCTCAGAGAAGTACCCACCGTGCCGCACACCCACATTGCCCAGACCCAGGTCGGAGGTGGTCTTTCACCCGCCCCGCCCTCACCTTTGCCCTATCAGCGTGCCCTCTGCACACACCTCCGCTCGTTCACTGCGCCCCGCCTCCACCGCCAACGCCCTGCTCTCAGCCACCTGTAGCTCTCCACCCAGGTGTCCCTGCTGTCCCTCTTCTCAGCCCTGCCACCCTGTGTCATGTCTCCTCATAGGACCCAGAGGAGCTTTTTGAAACATGAATCAGACCTACCATCTTCCTGCTTAACACCCTTTAGGACCTTCCCACGGCTCCACTCTGGTAACCAGACTTGGCCCGTGGAGCCGTGCAGCCCGCTCTGCCCCATGGGACCGTCTGCAGCCAGCCCACATGGCCTCCGTGCCCCCGACCCACACCCAGGAGCAGCGGGTTTGCTCTCCTCCAGTGTCCCTGCATGTTCTCCTCAGGACCCTCGTCACACATCCCCGAGGACAGTGAGCTTGCAGAGCCGGGACCACCATGTCCCGTTCCTGTGCTGTTGTGTCCCCACTGCCTCGCACAGGGCCTGACCTGGAGCCGATGTGTGGGGGTTGGTGGGACCGGCCGGCAGGCAGCTCTTCAGCAGATTTCTTTGTCTCCTGAGGACTCATTCATTGCCCTGATCCGTGGATTGTCACCTGTTTCCTTCCTTGTTACCTTCTGTCAGATTGTGAGCTCCTTAGGGGGTAGGGACTTGTCCTCTTTTTTTTTTTTTTTAATTTAGAAATGGGAAGGAGAGAGGGAGAGAAACAGCAGTCAGTTTTCTCCTGCACGCCTCATCTTCAGACCTGGCCTGCAACCCAGGCACGTGCCAGCGACTTCAGCTCGCAGGCCGGCACTCATTCTGCAGAGCCTGCCAGCCAGGACAGGGGCTGCCCGCACATCCGGCACCTGGTTGCAGGGGCCAGTGGACGGTGCCCCCTGGCCATCGGCCCTACCCTGGTGCAGAGAGGGACAGAGTCTCTGGTTTTGCCCCATGCCTCAAAGTGTAAGTTTCCTGATATTTGCATATATATTATTCTGTTCTTTTTAGTAACAAGATTCTTTGCAGAACAAAATGAAAAGCCTTTTGAATGCCTTGAGCATTCAGACACCCTCCCACTCGGACCCTGAAGCTGTTGCTGTGTGGACTTGCGATGGTCCACTTGAGCTACAGTGGCCGCAGAGGGATCTCACTGAGGCAGGGACAGTGCTTCAGGAGAACTCCGCAGATGTCAGGCCGATGTGACCGATGGCCAATGTGGGCCAACATGGCCAATGTCGTTGGTGTTAGGGGTCTTGTTAAATGAGGAGAAAAACATCAGGGCAGTGATAACAGTGCTTCTGAAGGTAATGATTCATTTTTCAAAGGGCTGAGAGTCCTAAGGAAAACTAATGGAATCCTCAAGTATTTTTATAAAAGTCACCTTTTTTAAGCAGGACCAGGAGAGGCAAGATGAAAGGAAGGATATCACCTTGTGCTAGCACATAGCTTTATCAGAAGAATCACAGGTGGGGTATCAATCAACTGGGTGTCAGCGCTCATTCAGGAAACCAGCTCCTGGCTGCAATAATAAACCTAAATTTTTTTTCAAATATCAGATAAAATGAAACTTGTTTCCATAATTTAAAATTTATTTTCTCAAGACGGAGCCTGTCAGACCTTTTTATTCCCGCTGTCTCCTCTAAATGAATTCACTCTCGGTGGCATTTCTTCATCAATCACCCTTCCCCGGCAAGGGTTCGTACCGCGGTAGGGGCCGAGCACGAACGTGCACCGCGAACTCCTGCCACAGATTCCCGCGATCGGAGCAGCGCTTCAGGTGCCTGCGGCCTGTGTATTCGTGCAGAAGACAGCTGCTTCACCGGAGCCCAGTGGAACTGCTCCCGCCTGCAAAGACTCAGGCTCCTGAGCCCAGGCGCGGGTCTCCTGGTGCCTCCTGCCCGAGGCGTGGTCCCCATAGTCACGTGAGGGCTCACTCCTGCGTTTCAGGTCGGGGAACAAGAGCCGCGGCTGGGTGTCAGCGAGAGTGGAGGTCTGCACCATGGCCTGTGGGCTCCCTGCAGCTCCTGTTTCTGTAAAGGAGACTTTAAGGCGCAGCCGCACCCTTGTTCGTTTGCGTGCTGTCTCTGGCTACGTTCACTTCTCGGTAGTACCATCAAGCCCTTGTGACAAAGACCCACAAAGCCTGAAACATGGAATCTCTGGCCTTTTCCAGAAAGTTTGTTGACCCCTGGCCTAGCGCCAGACTTGGAGCAGAGACGTGCTGATACCCTGTGGGTCTCTCTCTGGGCCCCCGCCTTCCTTCTTTACGCACCAGACATGGGGATGGCTGGGCGGCTCGCAGCGGGGCCGCACTCCCGTAGACGTAGTTGTGTGGAGAATGTGCGCGGCCCCGCTCCAAGCAACTAGATGCAGTCAGGGACTCAAAGGGAGCTCCGCTGGCTCAGACCCACAGGTGTGTGGTCTCCCCAGAGGACACCCCCGTCCACACAGCACAGGGCAGCGAGCACTCAGGCAGAAAGCCGTCTTAGCTTGCGGCATTTTGAGACAGAGTTTAAGGCTGCAACACAACTGACAAAGGAGTCGAAGTGCAGGAAAGGTGGATGCACCAAGGAGGGCAGCCCTAGAGCCCGAGTGTACGTTCCCTTTACGTCTTTGCCTGACCCCAGATTGTGAACGCACAGGGGAGACACTGGAGCACCCCACAGAAAGCAACCGCTGGAGGGGTGACAAGACTGAGCAGAGAGTGGACTGCTGCTCGTTGCGGGGAAAGGGCAGCTCGGGGATGGAGTCCAGTCCCGCCATGTCGGAGGGATTGGTCAAGACCTTGGGCTTCATCCAAGCTGCAGAAGGACTAGCCTCACTATGTTCCAGGACTGAAGGTCCAGACAGACCTGCCCTGAGCACAGGCAGAGCCAGTCTCAGGTTGCGCAGTCAGCCATCACCTACTCCTCCGAGGAGGTGGAAAGAGTTCCAAGGGTAAAGGAGAAGTAGCTTTACCTGCTTCATGCAGGTGGGATACCTGCACAGAATGGACACTAGTAATCAAGTGGAAGTGCCCACACTGAGCCCTGGGACGTCAGGAATGAAAACCCACTGGGTGGGAGACAGAAGCCGACCAGTGGGAGGAACAGAGCGAGGGGGAAAGTAATGAACGTAGTCGCCACACCTCGGGGACAAAGTCACACAATTGGACGTTTGTGTGGCTGACACCCTGAAGGAGTTGGGGGTGGGGGGCAGAGAAAAAGGGTATTTTAAGAAATAATGGCTGAAAATTTCCAAAATCTGGTGAAATAACAGCTCACAAATTGAAGTTCATTCGGCACACCCAGAAGCACAAAGAGAACCACGTCTGGGCGTGTCACAGTCAAACTGCTGAGAATCAGAGTTAGAAAAGCCTTGAAAGTGGCCGGAGGTGATAGTTACATACAGAGGAACGACCTGAGTGATGGCTCCTGTCCCACAGACACAGGCCAGAGGACTGTGGAGCAGTGTCGGTGAAACGTTAAAAGCAATAAAATAAACTGAAAAGCTGGCCTGCCAAAATGGTCTCTCAAACGTAGAGTCAGAGTACACAAAAGCCAGGAGGCGTTTGGGGCTGAGGCGGGCGGCGCCGGGTGGCAGCTCGGCCCAGGGAAGGAGTGGTGACGACTGGCAGTGGTGGGTGTACAGGCTCTTTGGTCCTGTAACTTCTTCAAAATACTGCTGGCCATTTGTTTCTTTATTTTTATTCCTTACCCCAGGACAGTTTTTCATTGCTTTTAAAGAGGGGGGAGGGAGAGAGACATCAGTGAGAGAGAGAAGCATCAGGTGGTTGGCTCCCGTTTGTGCCTGGACTAGCAGTTGCACACTCGCAGAAAGGGATTTGAACCTGCCACACAGGCGTATATATGCCCTGACCAGGAATCGAACCCACAGCCCTTCAGTTACTGGACAAGGCTCCAACCAACTGATCACACCGGCCAGGGCACGCTGGCTGTTTAATGCAAAAAGTATGACATTGGATTGTACAGTTTGGAGTGTACGTAGACTTAAAAGATTGGACAGAAGTAGCACACGAGACAGGGGGATAAAGAGAAGGTCTTGCAAGGCTCTGGTCCTTCCCATGGGTGGCCGTGGGGGGGGGGCGCTGTGTTGCAGAAAAAGTAACGCAGGAAGGAAGGTGTGGCCAGAAAGCCAGTGGGCAGATTAAAATACTTAAATACTGAGAATATCAGTTAATGCAAAAGAGGGCAATAAAGGAAGAACAAGATTTTTTTAATGGAACGAATATAAAGCAAATGGCAGAAATGTGACATGACATGAGTCCGAGCAGCGTATCAGGAAGCGCAGTGGACGTACAGAGGCTGCCCGCCCACTGGGAAGGCCGCGGTTGACCGAGGAGGGGGCAGGCAGGGTCAGCGCCGTGCTGGTTGGGAAGAGGGCTGCCTCAACACAGAGGTGGCTTGAAAGTAAAAGAAAGGAAAAGGATACTCTATGCTAGTCACAAGCACAGAAAACCATGGTGGCTACACCACCGTCAGTCAGGGTCGGGGACAGTATCGAGGGTGAAGAAAGGCCTGAGTACTGGGACGTCGGGAAACTTGCTGTCTTGGTGGAAACATTTTCTGTGTGGGCTGCTGTTTGTGTGGGCGCGTATATCCAAGTATGTCACCTTACCAAAACTAAGGTCTTTTTTCAGTTGAGTGATTAGAGAGACAGAGACGCAATTTGTTGTCCTACTTACCTGCATCCCTTGGTGGATTCCTGCCTGTGCCCTGCCCCGGTGGGCCCACAGCCTTGGCCCACCGGGGCAGGGCTCCGGCCAGGGCAAAGCCCAAGACCTTTGGTCAAACTTAAGATTTTTGCGCTTCTCTATGTGAATTTTACCTCCCAAATTGGAAGGCAGAAAACGCCTCCAGAACTTGTAAGGGATGTTGGTGGTACAGGGCCTCAGAAAGGAAGCTGCTGCTGACCTCTCTCCCCCATCTGCACGCCCCACGGAGCCAGCCGGTCTCTCCCTCCCGGCAGCACCTTCTTGCTCACAACCTGTATTTTCGGGGTCTTTCTCTGTACACCACCGTATTTTATTGGGAGTCATCAGGCTTGCATCCGGAGGCAGGCTCTTTCTCCCAGAGACGAGTGGGACTTCTGTGTCTGCACCTCAGGGCCTGGCTCTGGTTTGCCACCGCCCTGTACTCAGCAGTTCTTACTCGCTTTTCTGCCACGTCTGGCTTTCCTACAGTGTCCTGGTGCTGGGCCCCAGAGAGAACACAGTGTAAACAGACAGGCCATCTTCCCTCATGGCGTTGAGCGTCACAGTTTCACCTTCTTTTGTAAAACTCAGCATGCAGGTCTAGAAGCCAGAGGCTAAGCTCACTGGGTGAGGAATTGCAGGCCTCCACGCTGTATGTGAGTCGTGCGGAGCACCAGATGCCAGCCCCCTGCGGTCAGCTCCTGCCGGTGCCGAGGGGCTGGCCCCCAGAGCAGAGAGCAGGCCTGAGTAGAGTGGCGCTCCATTCCACGTGGGGTCGGGTTCAGAGTCGAGGGGAAAGATGAAGATCAAGTACAGGGGAAGTTTTTGTCTTTAAATGTTGGCATCACAGTCACTGAGCGAGATGCCCAAACCAGCATGTCCCTGTGCCCCAGGGGCCAGGGCTCGTGGGTACAGAGCTTCAGCTCACCGTCTCACACCCATTGAGAGAAATGGCCAGCTGAGTCGGCCTTGCCCTTGAAGTTGTTACTCCTCCTCTCCCTTCCTTCCTTTCCTTCCCTCCCTGTTGTGTGTGGGGCAGGGAGGGTTAGTAGGTGGGAGGAGGCTGTGCATAAACGTAGAGTTAAATTCATGTAAATGAAATCAGCTCCCTGCTTTTGGGAATTGCCACCTGTATGGAATTAGCCAAAAGTGGAGTTACAGACTCGTCTGAGTATCTAGTGGTAGCATGTACTCCTTTCTGCGACAATGTCACCACTCGGATGACAGGGTGGTCTTCGTGCCCACCCCCCACCCCCAGCCCCCATGCAGGCACTTCTCTGGAGAACTGTTTACAGCATGGTTTTTGTCTCCTTGATCATTTGGGAAGCCCAAGTTTAAAGGACTACTGAACAAATGAATTTGGGAATTACAACACTGAGTTCGATTTAAAAAGCCTTTTTAGCTGAAACAATTGTTTATAGCACCGTATTTAATTCCTGTAAAACTATTCTGAGCTATCTTCTGAGCGACGTTTCAGTGTTGCATTAAGACTTGTTGCCTTTGGTAATCACTCTTTCATTCGCTTTAAAGCAGCATGCCATCTTCTAGTGCTAAGAGAAAGATTACCTTTTGCGCAGGGATAATGGGCTTAAGAGTCTATAGAAAACATATTAACCAGTTTTCCCAATTTTGTTGTTTCCTTCTCCGCAGTTCCGTGCCTTAGCACCCATGTACTACCGGGGGTCGGCCGCAGCAATAATTGTCTATGATATCACAAAAGAAGTAAGATGTCTATTGTGTTCTTCAAACTGTTTTGAAAACTCTCTTGGCTGCTTCAATCTCCAGTTGCTTTCCTCTTTTATGTTCCAGGAGACATTTTCCACATTAAAGAATTGGGTAAAAGAGCTTCGCCAGCACGGGCCGCCTAATATTGTGGTTGCCATTGCAGGAAATAAGTGTGATCTTATCGACGTCAGGTAAGTTATTAGAACAGGAGATCGCAGTGCCGATTGCGTGTTCCTTCCCTCGCTGAGCAGTATCCAGCATAAGAATCTTGCTTTTATTTTTATCTCTGACATTGAAAAATATTTTTCTGTTGTTTGGTTGGAGTCTTGGAGTTTCAAAGTAAAATTAAGAGTTCAGGCACCTGGAGCTAATGAGATCACAGATATAGACAGGTACGTAAGGCATCCAGTGTCGGTTGCCTTGGGCGTGACAGAACCTGAGCTCAGGCTGGCCCCTGGCTCCCGTGATGGGATCCGGGCTTCAGGGAAGCACGGGCACTGGCAGTCCCTGGAGCCGCTGCATGGTCCCCGCGGCAGGGCGTTACCACTTCCGGGGAAGAAGCCCCTGCCTGTCGTTCTCTGGTCGCCCCCTGTGCGCGCTGTGGGCAGCACGGTTTGTCCTGTGTCAGCTCAGGCGCACACCCTTCGTGGCGTCCTTGTCATCGTGAGTCTGTTGAATCGCAGGGTAGGTGGGATAACGTGCAGCTCTCGATGGGTCACATTTCTGATTTGCATTCATTGCCTTCCAGAGAGGTCATGGAGAGGGACGCTAAAGACTACGCCGACTCCATCCATGCAATTTTTGTCGAGACCAGCGCCAAAAATGCGATAAACATCAACGAACTCTTCATAGAAATTAGTGAGTGTCTCCGTGCTGTGTAGGGTTCCCCTCTGCGGGGCAGCTCACAGCAGTTACCTTGCTGGGCAGAGCTCCTTCCTCGTGTGGGTGGTCTGGTCTCCAACGCCGTTCTCAGTGGAGGGTGTGGAGGGCGAAGAGTGACAGCCGCTGTCCGCAACCTGCAGTTGCTGGGGAGCTGCTGCCTGACGCACGGGGCCCTTCCGTCCAGGCCGTCGCTCCTGAGCAGATGACACACAGGGCCTGGAGGGCCCGGACGGTGTCGCCGCTGCCCCCTTTTCTCTTTGTGTATGTTTCAATTAGTCGTCCAAAGTCACTGAAAATCAACAAAGTAAGTAGGGGACAGGAAAAGCCCCTACTTTTCCTGTCCCTTACTTTCTTACATGTGGGATTCCACTGTAAGAAAATGCTAGGCGAGTAAAGGTTAAGCCCCGGTCCCGGCCCCCCCCCCCCAGCCCAGGAGTGTTAACATGATGGCATTGGATGGGAGAGAGGCTGCTGTGCACCTGTCAGATGCTCCACAGACTCTATCTGTTTATTCATTTCATTCAAATTCATCGCAGTATTTACTGAGAACCACCCCAGGCCAGGGAGACAGCGGTGGACAGGGCAGGCTGGAGCGCTGACCACCCTGCAGGAGACAGGCAGTGAGCACAGAAAACAAGCGAGACCCTTCCAGAGGGTGGCAGCAGTGGCAGGAGAAGAACACAGGACTCAGCGAAAGAGCATCTGCAGGTGGTCGGGTTAAGGGCTGCTCCTGAGCAGGTGGCACTGGCACGAGAAGTGACAGAGCAAGCCGTGCCCAGACCTGAGTTCACATTACGGGCATGTGCCAGGCTCCAGATACAGGACAGGAGACAGCCACCCAGGCACTGTGAGCGTCCTCTTTACAGTCCTCTGGGTGAAATCCAAGCCACCCTGTAAGGGCAGGGCTGTGAGCTCCAGTCCCTGCCAGGACCCAGCAGGACCTAGCAGGGCAGCCCACCTGTCGGGCAGTCCTGGGGCCCTAGGGCCCTTGGCGGCAGCGGTGGGGCCACACTGGAGTGTGAGCCTCTGGTTGCCAGTTGCTGGGGTTGTTTTTGTTGTTGGTTTTAGTTTTCAGTTTGTTCAGAGCACCAGAGATCTGAATTTCACGTAACACATCTATTGTTTCGATTCGGCCGCTAACTCAGCTATTTTCAGAGCGCCGTGCCTCCTACCAGGCCCGTCTGCCAGCACACAGGGCCAGTGGGCTGCTGGTTTGCAGCCTCCTGTCCAGCCATTTCGTCTCAGCGTTAAAAAGTCAGGATATTTACTGTCCTCCTAGGTTGTAAATGGTTGTTATCCAGATGCATTCTTTTTTTTTTTTAATTTTTTTATTGATTATGCCATTACAGTTGTTCTATCCCCCCCTTCATTCCCCTCCACCCTACCCCCCCATCCCCACCATTACCCCCCTTTAGTTTATGACCATGTGTCTCAAGTCCTTTAGATTCTATATTTCCCATGCTATTCTTGCCCCCCCCCTTCTATTTTCTATCTACTGTCTATGCTACTTATTTTCTGTACCTTCTCCCCCCTTCTCCTCCTCCCACTCCCCTGTTGCTAACCCTCCTTGAGATCTTCATTTCTATGTTTCCACTCCTGATCTAGCCGTCCTTTTAGTTCACTTTCATTTTAGGTGTGGTTGTTAATAACTGTGAGTTTGTTGTCCTTTCACTGTTCCTGTTTCTTTAACTTCTTTTTCTTAGATAAGTCCCTTTAACATTTCATATAATAAGGGCTTGGTGATGATGAACTCCTTGAATTTGATCTTATCTGAGAAGCACTTTATCTGCCCTTCCATTCTAAATGAAAGTTTTGCTGGATAGAGCAATCTTGGTTGTAGGTCTTTGGATTTCATGACTTGGAATACCTCTTTCCAGCCCCTTCTTGCCTGTAAGGTCTCTTTTGAGAAATCTGCTGACAGTCTGATGGGGACTCCTTTGTAGGTGACTGTCCCCTTAGCTCTTGCTGCTTCTAGGATTCTCTCCTTTATTTTAATCTTGGCTAATGTAATGATGATGTGCCTTGGTGTGTTTCTTCTTGGGTCCAACTTCTTTGGTACTCTCTGAGCTTCCTGGATTTCCCGGAAGTCTATTTCCTTTGCCAGATTGGGGAAATTCTCCTTTATTATTTGTTCAAATAAGTTTTCCACTGGTGGCTGTGCCTTTCCCCCTTCTGGTACCCCTATAATTCGGATGTTGGAGCGTTTAAAGATGTCCTGGAGGTTCCTAAGACTCTCCTCATTTCTTTGAATTCTTGCTTCTTGACTCTTTTCTGTTTGGCCATTATTTGCTTTCTTCTGGTCCACTCCATTGATTTGAGTCCCAGTTTCCTTTTCATTGCTATTGGTGTCCTGTGCAATTCCATTCATTTCAATTAGTTTTGCCTTCATATATTTGTCTAATTTGTGGCTATAATCAACCAGTTCTGTGAGGATCCTGATGACCAGTGTTTTAAACTGTGCTTCTGAGAGTTTTGCTATTTCTTTATTGCTTAGATCTATGGGCTCTGGGACTTTGAGATCTTCTTGTGACATTTTTGGTCTGTTTTGGCCCTTTAAGTGTGAGAAGCGGTGCCTTGGACTCCCAGGTCGCTGGGTTGTGACGCTGTATGTGGGGGCGTGGTCAGAGCGGGGAAATGGCGACCCCCTCTGCTGTTTCTCGCAGCTGGGTAAGGATCAGCGCCTCAGGTGGTTCACCAGGGCCGGGCCACTCAGAGGCGCTGGGTTATGACGCTGTATGTGGAGGTGGGGTCAGAGCGGGGAAATGGCGGCGCCCTTCACTGCCACTTGCCACGGGGACCCGCCCGGCCCCGTCCAACCGCCCACGCCCTCACCTGTCCGCCCGTGCACAAATGCGCGATCACAGGCAACACGCAGCACCGCTCCCCCGCTGTCTCCCCTGCTGTCGCTGCTCGGTCGCTCACTAGGTCCAACCCTGCGCCTGGATTCCGCGAGTCTGGATTCCGCGCCTGAGTCCGTCTGACCGAGTCCTCCTTCACCAGCCGCTGGTTTCGCCCCTTACCGGTCAGGCTGAAGAATTTGTTGTTAACGGACTTCCGAAAAGTTCAATTTTCCGTGTTCTGGCTGTGTTTTCTGTTGCTAATATTTAGTTGTCCCTAAACTTGGTTGTGTGAGAAGGCACGGCACATCCACCTATGCCTCCATCTTGGCGGAAGTCCCCAGATGCATTCTTGAAAGGCACCTTGAAGTCAAAATATCTAAGTGTGCGATATCAGATGTGTACTGAAGCTATTCTTTTTTTGCGTGCTCTGTACTCTGGCAGCACTAACGGGACAGAATTGAACTGTACCAAGGGAAATCCTTAGATACAAAATAGCATGTATGTCCTCGTTTTAACTGTGAAGAATAAAAGCCACACATGCTCACAATGGTGCAAAGCATATGGAGAGGTGTAGAGCGAGGTGCTTGTGTCCCAGGGGCTGTAGAGCTGCGTCGGCACAGCACCAGCCCACTCGCTGTTGACTGTCAGTGCTCGCGTCCGATGTGTGAGTGACTATTGGCGCTCACGTCCAAAGTGTGTCAGCGCTCACATCCGAAGTGTAAGTGTAGTGTTCATGTGCAGATTGTGAGTGTCATTGTTCACGTCCGAAGTGTAACTGAGTGTCAGTGCTCACATCCGAACAGCAACACTCAAGGCACGTTTGCTGGCAGAGGGCCCTCCTGAGATCTGCACCGAGCAAGGCCCGAGCTACCCCAGGACCCCCCTCCACCCCCAAGGGAACCACTCTCCTGACTTCTGGTGCTTCTGGTTCATTGTGCCTGTTTTCATACTTCACAGTGTTTTAAAACACACTGAGTTCACCCATGTCTGGCTTCCTTATCTCTACACACACTTCTGGGTTCATCCATATCACTCAAATCCCTTCCCGTCACCGCGGTGCACCTGTCAGCAACAACGTGGGGAGCGGGGACCTGTCTGCGGCATGGCTGTCCATCCTGTGATAGGCATCTGGACGGCTGTGTCCAGTTCTGAGCTGTTACAGATCGCGCCTCTCTGAGCATCCGCTTCGCGTCCAGCAGGTGCGCTATCTGCGTCCCCGTGACAGTGATAAGTTGAGCGCCTTCCCAGGCGCTCACTGGCACTAGGACACTGTCAGGATGCCCTCTCCTGGGAGGTGCGGCCTGCTTTCCTGCTCTGCCCCCTGCCGTCTGCTGAGTGTCGGTGGTCCACTTTGGGTAGGGCTCACTGTCAGTTGTGTGCACCGGGCAGATCTCTGCTCCTGGCCGGACGGCCATTTCTGAATCGGCTTCTGTGATGCACTGGAGTCCTTCATCTCAGTGGGGTCCCGCCGACCCCTGTTCTCTTTTAGGGTTGGCACTTTGCGGCTCTAGTTTGGGGAGTCAGTGCCTATTCCCAGGTCAGGAAGGTGTTCTCGTTTGCTTTCTTCCAAAAATGTTTCAGAGACGGCCCTCACTGTGTGACTGTGGTGGTTGAACATTGTCCCGCAGAGCGGAAGGTCACCAGTTCAGTTGCCGGTCAGGGCACATGCACAGGTTGTAGGTTCAGTCCCTGGTTGGGGCACGTATGCATACGAGGCAGCTGACCGATGTTTCTTTTTCTTTCTTCCTCCCTCCCCCTCTGTCTAAAAATAAAGTCTTTAAAAATGTTTCAGAGATGACTTTGTGGTCCCAGCTATATTTCTATTATCTATTCATTGAGAAATATGTAATGACAAGAAGCTTCAGTAAAGCTTTTAAATTAATTTGCAATTCATTCACAACAGCGTGTACAGGCATTTGAAAAATAGCAATAGGACACACTGGGGACCCTTTCTAGTTGCATAGATGCCGAGCTGGGTACCACCCACACAGATTTGCAGGCTGGAGGCTCCAGGCTTGGTGACCAAGGACCCAAGAGCCTGCAGGTTCCATCACAGCCTATTCACACCCCAAATGCACGTGCCGGTTCACACTGCCGGATACCTCCGTGCCGGGTGCCGAGCTAACTGGCCCTGGAGACAAAAGTGGAGGGACAGGATCTCTTCCTTCGAAGCGCTGAGGGTCCGACTGACGTGAGGGAGATTGTACACGCACGACACTGTGCTCCCCGCCCTCAGGGCGTGTTCGTGCCTGAGATGTGCAGGGTTGGGAGGGGGCGGGGTCAGGAAAGCTTGTGCAGCTCGGGACTTGTTGTGAGGCGGGCGGGCAGGTGATCCGGGTTTCCCTCCAAACTAACACCACACTTCACGAAGCACTAAAGTGAAGCCTGTTTGTTCGAATACATCGTCGGTAGCAGAACGGGCGGCACAGCCTCTTCAGACAGCAGTTCAGCAGCATCTGTCAAAATTTAAATTGCACGTCCTCCTGCCGCTGTGCTGGGCGTGCACTGGGCTACAGGGGGGTGTCGGGTCAGTGCCCAGGAGTGGGATAGTGTGGCCCGGCTCTTCCACTCCGTTCATTTACCCCGCACATCCACCAGGTTCACAGAGATGTTTCTGCATCATCGTTGGTGGCATGAGCACATCATAAGCAGACCAAACATCCATCAACAAGGGAACGCATAAGTTACAGTCCATCCGTGCCCTGCGGTGTCACAGAGCTATTAAGTAGAAGGCAGCAGCTCTCCAGGCCCTGGGCTGGGACAGCCCCAGGGCACATGATGAAGACATAGGGGGGGCAGGAGAGACAGCCAAAGAGGCTGCTTGCTCCTCTCAGGGCTTAGGAAGGGGCAGGTGGAGGCGTGTGCCCCGCGTGTGCCTGTGCCCCTGTCCCTGGGCAGCGGGCGGGCCTGTTGTCCTTCATTCTTCTGCTGTGTGTGCGCGGTGTCTGCTCAGAACAAGATGCTTTTTAACGGGTAAGTTGTGTAAAGAAGATGTTACTAAATGCCATGTGATGCCCTCACGGGGTCCCTGTCACAAACACAGAACACTGAGGGAAGAACTGTGGCCTCCGAAAGGAGTGGAGTTCAGTTCATAGCACTGCACCAGCGTCGACTCCGCTCTAGACGAGCGGCCCACAGCAGCTCCGGGTAGTGACGGGAGGGGAAGCGGGGTGGGGTGCACAGCAGCTCTCTAGGGGGTCTTCGCAGCTTTTCTGGAAACCTAAAAGCATCCCCAAAGTAGAGCTTATTAAACTTTTATTTTAATGAAACATCAAATTGCGCTTACAAAATTGCTGTGCCTGAGAGTGAGCAGATCTGGAAAGTTAAAACTTGTTCCCCTCCCCCCTCTCCTCTCCGTGGCAGGTCGGAGAATTCCATCCACTGACTCCAGCCCGCCGTGCGGGGCGAAGGGCTTCAAACTCCGGAGGCAGCCTTCAGAGCCGAAGCGAAGCTGCTGCTGACCGAGCCTCCGCCTCTCAGACTCGACGACGAAGTAGGTGGTCCCGAAAGCTAACACGAGGGCTTGGGGGCCCACCACCGGGCTTCGCCGAGCCGGTCTGGGGTCTCCTTCATGCAAGAAAGAGGCGCGGAAATTGGTCAGCCCTTCCCTCTGGGAAGGCTGCGGCAGTGACACCCGGTCTGCGGACAGGCTGCGCAAAGGCGCTCTGCCACCAGGAGCTCCGTCACTGGCTTTTGACCTTGCAGAAAGGAACGTGTAATTGTATGGATGGCAGGGTCCAATTGATGAGCAGTGTTGTAATCAAGATTTTATGTAACATTTTGTAAAGGGAAAACGAGCACTTTCGTGGTTCTCGAGGGAAAGAAGACCTCGTGGAGATTGTAATTTCCTTGGTTTCCCGTGACCGCTCTTCTGGGGAGATGGTCATTTAACATGGGGTAGGATACTGTTAAGAGGAGGGTGGCAGTTATTACCTGAGGGTGAGTTGGTTATAGGACGGCTGGAAATGACTGCGTCCGCCGTCTCCAGAGCACTTCCCATCGCACACGTCAGCCCAGGTGCGCACGGTGAGTTACCGGGAACAGTAGCCGCGCTCACTCTTGGTGTGCGTTCTGACCCTGTCGTGTGTGTGTCCCCAAACTCATTATTGGCGCCTTTTGTCACAAGCTCTCAGGATCAGGGTTGTGGTGGGAGGAAGCTGCCTGGAATAAACTGAGTGGCATATGTTTAAACTGACCAACTGGCTTAAAGAGGAGGGAAAAGAAAGTAAAGTGATGTAAATGCTGTCGATTTTTTATTTAACCCAAATATTTTGGTGGTGAAAACAATTATCCGTTGCTTAGCCTGTGTAAACTTACAGCCTATATTTATGAGACCATTGCTTAAAAAGTATAAATTATGTAAATACATGAATAAATTCTGTTTCATTCCATGTAATCTTGCCCGCCTTGCACACGCCCAGCCCTCTCGTGGCTGGTCCATGGGAAGCTCCGCCGGCCAGTTGCGGTGGGAGAGCGCAGCCCAGGCTCCCGTCTGCCCAGCCCCTGCCCTCCACACCCCGCCTGGAGGGCGCGGTGCAGACAGATGCCGCTGGGACAAGCTCTGTGACAAGCCTGGCCAGCCCTGGGGTAAAAAACGAAGCTCCGAGCTCAAATCATTTACCTGGTCCTGGTATTGTTTCTTTTTGCTTTTACAGCGACCTCAGAGCAACTGTTCAAAGAGAGCTTTCCTCGTTACCAACTTAGCTTGTCTTTCCATTTCCTTTTTTTCCCCCTGCCTCTGTTAGTGGTTAACACTCTTTTCCCTCAGGGAGCCTAATGAGGTTTTTAATATAATCTAAAAATAAAGCAGTGAAGTGAAGTTGGTGAAAATTTGTTCCTGGTCTAGTTTGGCACCCTTCCAACCTGAGTATTGTAAGGGGAGGAAATTCACAAGATTAAATAGGAAATGAAACAGCTTGAATTTCAAGCTAAATTATGTTTTCAGAGCTCTCCTTAAACTGAACAGTCGAAACTTTTAAAAATAATTGTTATTTCTTTGTGTACCCCACTTGATATGGATCGATTTTAATGGGAAAATTATAACCCAGATGAAGTAAAAAAAAAAATAGCTCCTTCCTTACTCTGGTGAATATTTTAAGCATTTGAAATTTGAAATTATTTATTTTCTTATTGAAATCAGATGGAAGGAATGTAGTTAGTGAATTTCTACTATGGTTTTGTTAAATACATGTGGGCGCTATACCCCCGTAGCACCTTGCTTCCCTCTCGGTGTGAGCTTCAAGAGAAGAAAAGGAATTCCAGAGACTGGGCTCCTCGCACCTGAAGGTGTCTGAGCTTTATTTCCTGTGCATTGGATGGATTGGGGCATCTGGCCGCTGCCCGGTACGGCCCTCACCTTCCCACTCTGAGCCTCTGTCTCCGCGACGACACAGTGAGAGCAGAGGTGGCTTGACCCCTTACTGTGGAGGCAGTGCCGCCTGCCCCTTTCTCTCCTGTTTCACCAGGAGATGACGCGGACCCGTGACCTTCCCAACATTTGCCCGGGTCTGGGGGCGCAGCAGAGAGCAAAGTGCCTGTGCGCCTGCTCTCACCAATAAGGCACGCGAGCGCCTCTGCTCCTGCTGCGGCATCGACTGTCTTGAGCCCAGACAGACGCCTTCCACATGGAGAGAGAGTCTCTTCGGCGGTGGCCCCGTGTTTATTAAGAGCGTGGATGCCGTGTGGCTCTGCAGCACCCCTGCTCTCGGCGTTGCTGGGGCCTCTCCTGCCCCCATTGCCAGCAGCCCATCTCAGAAAGTGACGTGGCACCGTCTCTCGTGTGCTCTTTTTAGTCCTTAGCGGCAACAGCAGATCGCTCTCCCAGATGCATAATCCCTACACGATGGAATGGAGCAAAAAACGCTTCCCTTCATTTTGTTTGCTTATGAAATGCAAAGATGAATATTAAAGTCAGAGGCTGTGTTTTATTTTGAACACACTTTGGGTCTCAACCTGACTGAGCCACAATCCAACACACATATCGTGTGTTCTTGATTTGCATTCGTTAGGAGAAGAGGCTTTCAAGGAGTTGAGGTAGAACCCGTCTGCAAAGATCTTCTCTTGGTTCCCATGTGGCACGGGGCCTTTTTTTTAATATTAGGGACTGAAAAGAGAAGCAGCATGAATGAGGTAGCTGTGAATGCATAGTGACTCTCGGAGATGCTCAAGTAAGCTCTTGGCAGGCGTCTGATCCTGGGAACTGCGGGTCCCCAGAAGCCTCTGTCCACATGGGTGTCTTTCCGATCCTCTGATAACTAAGTAACCACCATTCAGTGATTAGAGGAACAAACTAAGAGTGTGATCACGTGGCCTTCGTTACGGTCTCGCTTTTAAGAAGTGACTGGGGAGGAGTACCTGTATGCAGGCCCTTCAGGTTCCACAAGAACCTGTCACCTGCCTTTCCGCCACCATCGGGGCGCGGTCCTCCCCCAGCAACGGGAGGATGGTGTCCCTGCAGACTGACCCCCTTCTTTGTTCCCGTTTAAGACCCTTTGAGGCACCTGCCTCCCCCCCTTTGAAAGGATCGAGCCTTTGGTATGAGAGGCAGGATCTCCTCCTAGGGGCCAGTGTTGTCCTTGAGGTTGTCAATTCTCATTATTTTTAAATATGTAAGAAGAAAGAAAACCATGTGTCCTTTCTCAATGTCTCTTTAAGTCTTGTCTTTGTTTCTTTTCTGTGCTCAAGAAGGAAAGTGGGCGTAGGAGGCATTCTAAAGGAGACCGGGAGGGGCCGCGTGGACCTGCGCCCTGTGGCCTCCCCTGCAGAGGGGAGACCCGCGCAGCACAGCATCGCACAGCGGGCTCGGTTCAGGTTCCCCTCTGCCAGCGGGCAGGTCGGCCTCAGAGCTCGCAAAGGCGGCATTTGCTCATGTGCATCCTCTACATTCTGAGAAAGAATCGCAAAAGAGGTTATGTTCATTCCTATAAGCATTTCTCACTCATTGCTTCAAAACTGAAAATGTGACTCGTGGCCCCGCAGCGTGTAAGATGCCGGCGCAGAGCATGTTCTGTGCATGACACACCCAGGTGTCTTTGCAAGAACCTGTAGCCGTGATGAGAGAGTCCTTCTGGAGAACGGCTCATGGAAGTCCCTTCACTCTGATCTGTACGAGGTGCCTGCCTCCGAACACTTGGGGGGTAAGGACTCCCCTCTCCAGCGTTCCTCCTAACCTCCTAACAGTAAGCTGGGCAGTATAAACCTATAAAGAAGTCTTTGTTGTTTAAATTTGTCTTAGAGGGACCAACAGCATGACTGCTGTTTATGGTTCATTTCAGGGGATCGTCTACCTCTCAACAGTTAATGTTTTTTAAAGAAAGACATGGAATGGCCCTGGCTGGTGTAGCTCAGTGAATTGAGCCTGGGCCTGCGAACCAAACAACCACGGTTCGATTCCCAGTCAGGGCACATGCCTGGGTTGCAGGCCAGTTCCCAGCAGGGGACGCACGAGAGGCAACCATACATTGATATTTCTCTCCCTCTCTCCTTCCCTCTAAAGATAAATAAAATCTTTTAAAAAAAAAAAAAGAAATGGAATGTACCTTCAAGGGTCAAGTTGTTGCTGCAGTCCTGCCTTCAATTAGCTGAGCCCATCAGAAATTTTCAAATAATTCAAAGTAATGTTTAGGATCTAAATAATAGTCCAGGCAATGGTTTCTACACGTGGTAGGCATTCTGCTGTGCAGGTTTAAAAGGGGGAGCCGGGGGCGGGGTTTAGCTCAGGACTGAAAGAAACAGCCTCTGCCAATTTCTCTTGAGGGCAGAATTACTTGTCCCGACTTCCAGTAATAGAGATCCAGGCAATTGGATTATCCGATTTGCAAGAAATGTTGATGGAATTCTGGGGCATTGGTCCTGTTCTTTGTGCAAATGAAAGTCTAAAAAATATTAGAAGGGTATTACATTTTTCAGGAGTCTCCACTTTTTCAATTTGAGAGAATAATAAGTGAGGGGCTTGTTCTGATGAAGTTTCATTAGACATAATGAAGAAAGTGAATAAATAGACCCAAGAATGTCCATATTTCTCAGTTTGTCTTTCAGGGTTCTCTTAGCATGTAGGAAAATGATTTACTTCCCAAATCGAGAAGGACTCCCAGGAGAATAGATCAACCTTAATTTGATGGTCTGCACCATCAGGAATAACTAATATCTGTGTTCTTTCGTTTTAGAATAGAATTAGTTATGGAATGCTAGAATACTTGGGGCTTCAAAACAAAAAGATTCAGAGGTTTAATAAAAAGGAAAACTTTTCTCTTTCAGTTATGTTGGAAATTTTAGATAGATCAGAATGTATCATCAGTAGAGACTGGAACAAAAATCATGGAGCCTTAAATTTAACAACAAAAAAAAATATTCAATTTATTGCCAGTTCATTTTCAGATACATACAGTGCCCCGGGCCTCATCAAAATGTTTCATAATCGAAACAAAATTCTGGGTTGCTTTCCATGAACTGCAGTTCAAGTGCCAAGAATTCAGCCAATTAATGGGAACCCCTAAGACAGCAATGATTTTTTGAAAGAGCCTTCTTTAATTGGCAGTTTCGAACAGTAGGCCTTACCATTCTTAATCATGCAGGGTAACAGAACCTGCTGGGTTTGATGCCCTGTCTTGATTCAGGAACTTCTCCGTGTTTCCAGAAGCAATTTGTTTAATATCAGTGCTACTTTGGAGAAAATTATTATTAAAATAGCATTTTGTGCTCAGGGCTGAAACTGTCCAGGAAACTCCCACAAAGTCTTGCCATTGCAGTCGGAAAGGCGGGGGGGCGGGGGGACGGGGGGCCGGCCGGGGAGGGGGGGCACGTGCGTGCCCACTCGAACACAGCACACTGCAACGTGTGACCTCACTTTGGGGCTTAATCCTAATCTCGTTGGTCCTTCATGGATGTTTTCACTGAATTTACTTGTGAATAGTTAGCTTTACCCCTGAGCACTTCCAAAAGCAGAGCTTGAATCCATGTGCTGCCTGTCGCCTTACACGTGCGGTTATTACATAGCATGTGCAACGTTTCCTTAACATCCTGGGCCACACACATGATGTCACAGCGACTGGTCAGTTCACCTCGGGCAAAACAGTCGGCGGCCGGCTAGTCGGAGCGGCTGACTGGTGGCTCTGTTTCTCAAACCATTTGTTGTACTGTGTACACAGAGCTTTATTGCTCTGGAAAGGATTTTCTTCACCCTCATCCAGCCCTGTCTTCCCATCATCTCACTTCATGAGTCACTCAGTTGTCAGTCATGCCTCCGACCTTCTCGAAGAATTGATGTTCTGCCTTCTCTGTGATCAAAGCGGCCTTCTTGTGTTATTTCTCTTCCCATTTTGCAGCGGGCTCTCCCTTAAAGGCACAGGACACCAGCCACCTCCTGAGTGCCCGTGACATTCCTTGCCCTGCCTCCTGTGCAGACAGAAGCAGGGTGTGCTGGCCACGTCCACCCAGGGAGTCCGACCAGGGCCGTCAGAAAACATGACTAATTGTGGGTGAAGAATGCCCGCATTTCGATAGAGGCAGGGGCAGCACCAACTTGACAGTGGCCACAGGACCAAGTAACAGTGCTTTCTGCCATTGGTGGCGAGGTTGTGTGTCGGAGCTTTGCTTCGTTTGCAGTAGAGCAGTTCATCAAAGGATGTAAAGAATCCGAGGCCGTGGTCTTGGAGAGAAACAGCTATGGAGTATGGAAGTGAGCCTAGACGTTACAATTTTTTAAAAAGTTAAGCTGTCATACCAAGCAGTCCTCGTTTCTCCCAAGAATGTCATGCCTTTTCAAGACCTGACACAAGGGGTAAGATACTTGTGCCTTTTTATAATAGTGTCTATTATGAAAAGAGTAAAAGGAAGTTGCTTCCAGTTCAGGCCGCTTGGTAGCGCGATAAACAGCCCAGATTTACCGCCGTGGCTTCCCTGCATGATGCGTTGCTTGATGGCCTGTGATGAAATACTGTAATGATGGTCTGCCAAGCTTACATGGATGTCTAAAGACTATATTTTTGCAGTCACAACCTTGGGCTGGACCTGAGTCTACAGATAAACCATGTGGTGTCTGTACTGTTCGTAGATGCTGACAAAAAAAAAACTAGACCTTTGGATTTTTGTTGTAGGATTTTTCTGTTTTCACTTGTGCTGGTGGTAGGTAGTTTGCCAGTGGTGGTTAATTTGGTATACTTTAAAACTGTACTGTTTTAGTTTGAATATTCTGTCTTCAACTTTTATAGAGGGTAACGTGCTAAAAATCACTACAAAATTTGTTGTGTTGTAAGCAGGGTGTAAACGTTTTGTTAATAAAATGCTATGTTTGTAAGTACACGCGTTTGCCTTTCAAATGGTTTCTCTCCGTGGTGGTGCGTATCGCACGTTTTTCTTCACCAGATCCCTTTGGAACGGAAACAGCAGCACTCTGAGAGCCGCCGGGTCTGGTGAGCAGCGAGCCGTGGGCACGCACCGAGTCAGCTCCCCCTTCCTGCGCCTTTGTACACGAGCCCTCCCCCTCTCCACGACCAGGTGTCTGTCATCTTTACAGTGGGGCCCGGCAGGGTGGGGTGCTGGAGGCGGGGGAGGAAATCCGGGAACAGTGAGGCGCACCCCGTTTGGGCCCTGGGAGAAGAGCTTCACGCCGCCATGCATCCATCCATCATTCCTGGGGAATTTCATCAGAGGTGCCTACTAGTGCCTCTCCCCGTGTGGATACTGCCCCCAGAGTCCCTCTGTGCCCTTCCCTGCCCACAGAGGGACATTACACTCATGTTCTCTGGGAGCCCCCCCTCAGAAGCACATCCGCCTACGTTTTGTGCTTGTGTGGAGAGGACTGACCTGTTCCAGTGAGGGTCCCAGACAGGGCTTGGGGCAGACAGACGTGGGGTTGAGTCTCAGCTCAGCCCCTTTAGAGGCTGCGTGGGTGTAGACAAAGCCCTTGACCTGAGTCTCGTCACCTCTCTAAAGTGGGAAGGTCCTTTCTGCCACGTGTGGTGACGTCATTTGGCAGATACCAGACTCTTACGCGGACCTTCAGCACAGCAGAGGTGGAGAGGAAGCTGTCCCTTGTAATTTGTCTGTAACCGCCATCCCTCCCCCTGATAATCCATATCCAAATCAGTTAAATGACTTTGTCACCAGTTTGGTGTTTCATTTGGTTCTTGCCTTTTTTTTTTTTTTTTACATATAACATAACAGAAAATGCCATGAATCTTGTGTCCACCTCAATAAATTCTCACAAAGGAGACCTATCCATGCAAACCACTGCTCACGATGAAAACCCGGATGTCACCCACATCCCAGAAGCTGCACCCTGTGCCCCTTTTCAGTCACAACCCTGTTGTTGGACACCACAAATGAACTTCGCCTGGTGGTGGCCTTGACAGAGACACCAACCATACGGAACCTCGGGTACGTCCTCTAGGGTCGGGCTCCCCTTGTTCGCCTTGGCAGGGAGTACCCGCCTTCGCTCCCGCTGCTCCGCAGCCACCTGCCGTGTGAAGGCGCCTCCACGTCCGTACCCGTTCTAGGCCAACAGACCTTGCGTTATCGCCAGATCTCCGCTGTCAGGAAGGGGCCACGGCGAACAGTCCTAGCACATCTCTGGCACCCTGCGCAGATTCTGTCGGACACGTACCTGGTAGTGGGACTGCTGTGTCCTGCGAGATGGATGGATCTGTAGGTTCGTTTATTTTCCCTTTCATACACACGGTTTTCTAGTGGCCTAGCAGTAAATGCCCACCTGCAGTATATGAGATTTCCAGTTGCTCACATCCTTGCCAACATCCGATACTTGGTTTTAGCCATGCTGGCAGGTGTGCGGTGGTATCTTTTAGTGGGGTTTGCGTTTTCCTATCCAATGGATGTTTTGCAAGGGCTTTTAAATTGTGCCTGGCGGGGGAGTCTTTCTCAGTACATCCCCCCCGGCATTCTGTACAGCGCACACACCCGGGCTGGAGCTGTGTGCGGGGGAAGGTGCAGAGCCATAGCCCCCGGCCCCCCCTCAGGCTCTGACCAGAGAGCCCAGAAACAGCTGTAAGTAAGTGGAAAGGGGAACCACTCTGGGGAGGACACATTTGCCACCTTGCTAATGGAGGGGACTCCTGTCTCTAAAGCGGAAAGAACAACCCTCAGAAAGGGAGGTAAAAGGACCCATGCCATGAAATGGTGATTCCCGAAAAAGAAAATAGAATGGATTAACCGACACATGAGGCTAAAGCACATGAATGCTCATCCAAGCACCAGGGAACTGGTCTTTGGCCAGTTGGCTAAAGTGCAGGGACAGGAAGTGCCACCTGCAACCCCCCTGCCGGAGCACACAGGACCCTGCCCCTGACCCACTGCTGAAGAGGTCGCCTGGGGCTGCCGTACAAGAACTGCCCGCCCCAGGACAGGTGTGGTCATGGCAGCCTTGTTGATAGCTGCTGGAAAAAGAACCCACACCACCCCAGACACACATATACGGCAGCCAGCCCGGCGTGCAGGCAAGTGAGAAAGGAGGCAACACTTGAGGACGCACAGAGGACAGCTCCATTTGTCGAAGACACGTCACGCACGTCCACGTATAGGTACATGCGCACGCTCTCAAAATCGGGAATGCACGGTCCAGCCCCAGTAAGGCCCTTGTGTTATCACAAAACCTTCCATTACAAAGTCACAAGCATGGAATCCTGTAACAGAACAATATCACACTCAAGCACACCACAGGACATTTTAGGTGAAACATTCACCTTAAAACTATACATTATTGCACCCATATTATTACCCCGCCAGACACGCTCAGGCGTGACTCCTGCCGGATCTGTACGTTCTCCACGCCGTCAGCTGTAGCTGTCTCGGCAAAGGGAGGCTTAGAGGACAGAATCACCCCTTTTCACTTCCTGTTTTCCTATGTATCTCTATGCTTTTAAAAGTTGTCTTATGTTGATACTGGATACACTTCAAGCTGCTCTACGTCCTCTTGGAAGGGGGCAGTATACATAAATATACATTATGAAGGAGACTATTAGTCTGGAGCCTGTCCAAGACCACTATGGGGGAAGCGGAGAAAAAGGGTGACTATGCCGAGAAGGAAGAAACAAATTAGCACAAACAAGGATGTTTTAAATGCATACACAAAGCAACCTTGCTTTATTTTTATACAAGCCACTGGCTGCTTGCCCTTAGAGCATAGAAAAACTAAATGATGGGCCCAGGTTTCTAAGCAACCTACTGTTGATGGCAGGTTTTTTTTTCCATTAGGACTTAAGAACGAGATTTCCATTAAGACAGGAAATTATGAAATAAAATGCAAGGCCTTTTAAAATGTTTAGTTGTTTGGCTTATAATAATACGAGCTGAAAATATAACTCTCCACTGGAAATACTGCTTGGGGAGTGAAGCATCCTCGTCAGCCTTCTAGAATGTACCCACCGTGAGTAGGAAATCATCTCTTTCTGAGAACCGCTGCCAGAGGCCACAAGACCAGCAGGAAAAAAAGGCCGTATAGCTCATGTCTTGTCCAAACGCACCACTTTGTTAAGCATGACTTTCCATCGGACCTCTGGTCATTTCAGTGTTTTATTTTCAGCACAGCCTTCCAGGATCTTCCAAGAAACAATGCAAGAATACAGAGTTAAAGTGATTTAGGAAGAGTTGAGGAAGCAAGGCCCCCAGAGGACCAGAATTCTCAAATGTAGCCCTTGGTGTAGAATGGTATCCTCAGGCCTCTGTTCAGTGAAAGACATGGAGAATTTCATGGGAAAGTTACAAAGGTTCCACTCTTACTAAAGGCAGCGCATTTTCCAGGGAAAAAAAAGTAGCATCAGGGTTTGGAGGGACGTAAACGGGAGGTGGACGCCCAGCGTGAGGGCGCAGGGCCCACGCCGGTGGTATACTATCATCAACATTAGCATCCCCGTCAGCGGCTCCAGCGAGGGGGTCAGGGCATGCCTTCTTTGCATAAAAATGTGAACATATCACAGTTTTTTTGCTGTTTTTTCCCCCCGATGGAAAAAAATTAAGAAACAGGCACTGTAGCAATGGCATGGAGGTACTTTATCAGCAGGGCGATGCTCGGGCTGACCAGCCAGTTCATTTCCGAGCCCTCGCATTGTAGCCCATCGAGAATGCCATGCTTGAATTTATTTTTATAGTTCATAATCCCGGTGGGACAGCCCCACGGGAGAGGAGCAGGATCCCTGTAGGGTTGCTTCCCTCCTTCTGAAGTTACTGCTCCCCATGCAAATCTGAACGTAACAGGAGATGGGAACATGGGTGGCCAAGGGGCAGTGTTCACAAGCGACCTGTTGACTCTGTGGGTGCTGAAAAGACAGTAAGTTTTGAAGCCTCTTATAGGACAGCAGGTGGAGAAAGTTCTGGTGCAGGTCAGGTTTCCACCTCCCCTCCCCAAACAGCTCAGCCACCTGGAGGGGAAGGAGAATCCTGTCGCCAGCCCATAAAGCCTGGCCCGGCCGTGTGGTGGGGGCGGGGGTGGGGCACTGGATTAAAAGGCTGCGGGGGTTTCCAAGACCCAGAAATCTTCAAGAGAGCATTTCAAGAAGCAGACGAGCGTTGGGTGGATTTGGGCTATGCTCTGAAGCAGTGACAAGGCTCAGCTTTCAGAGGGGCTCAAGGGTAGCCAGAAGGCATGTCGTATTTTGCCGACTCAGCGGCTGTGCTTAACCTTTGGCTATCTCCTCCGCAAGTGGGGTGTGGTTTTATTTGCTAAAGGACAACGGCCCAGACTTGATGGGGCTACTGCGCCTCACCCGTGGTAACAAGTAGTCAGGCTCTATAAATCAATAGTGCTAATCCCACCAATAACGAGCATGGAACTACCACGATTGGTGCCAGCAGGTAACACAGCCACGCACATTGAGGGCCTGCTGTTTTCAACACGGGTCTGTTGGGGACTCTGTTGTTTCTCTGTTACGGTAGAAGCATGTAAAAGTTTGCCTTTAGCCCTGGCCAGGTAGCTCAGTTGCTTGGACCATCGTCCCAATACACCAAGGTCGTGGGTTCAATCCCCAGTCAAGGTATATACAAGAATCAACCAATAAATGCATAATTAAATGAAACAACAACTTGATGTTTCTCTCCCTCTAAAACCAGTGAAATAAAATTTAAAAAATTGAAGTTTGCCTTTATTTGCCATAATGCTGTCATTTAAAAAGAAACACATGCACACACACCTGTGAGCACACACAGGAGCACAATGTGAAGAGGAGACAAGTGACTTCCGTGGCAAAGTAAAATGAGAAGAAGACAAAGTCCATGCAGCCCCGGCTACGGGAGAGTAACAGGGTCAGAGGGCGTGGGACAGGAGACACCCCGAGGCCCCGTGTCGGGGGAGA